TAAAATCATTGTGCTTGTCCATGTTCGTTATACACAATGCCACCTAAGTCCATATCGTTTGCAGTTCAACAGCATGAAGATGTGTCGAAATCAAGTTTTCCATTGTATTGGACTCGACTTTGTCTATTTTGCTACTGTCTTGATGTGTGATTTCCAATTAATGTGCCATTTAGAAAAACGCATACCTTCACACAGAAATTGCAATGGTTTCCATAACATCAGATTAATTTTTGCTTGGGGGGGTCGTCTGATGATAGTGACCTGTGCCAATAACTTTAGTTAATGTTCTGGATAAAGGCCGACACACGTCATTTTTGGGTCCAACTAAGAATAGTGTATCAGCGAGGTTTAGTGTTGAAACATGCCATTGGTCGAATGAGTGTTTAATCCTTATCGCCTGGAGTTTTGGGTCATTGCATAGCAACAAAACCAAGGTTCACCCTCGTTTCCATTGTCTAATAGGCTTAATGGTGCACAGTAAAAGAAACACCTGTTTCAATGGAGTGCCCAATTCCAGGTTTCTGGGGGTTTAAGACGTGTGTCTCAATTCAGTTGCCTATCCTTGACTATGTCGACTGCCTATTTCACTAATAGTCCCATCATCTTTGAGGGTCTGCTTGTTGATCTGTTGTCCTTGTCATTTTTTGCCCCAATAAAGACTAGCAGAGCCTGGCAATTTATTTTTGAAAAACTGTGGATGAGTGTGAATGATGGACTAGAGATCTAGCTAATAATGCTTGGTCTGTTATATGCAGAGCCTGCGTTTGATGGAACTACCTGTTAATGACTTATATCTCGTGTATCACTCAAGTGTGTTTCTTTACATGTAGTGTGACATGTAGTGATGGGACAATTATATAGCAGTAACTATAATATGAAGAGGTTGAGGGATATTTACGACATTCACCAATTAGTGGGGAGCTGACCACCCAGGAATGTGCGTGTGTAGAATAAGACGAGAGAGAAGGCAAAGAGAAAGGAGAGAGGGAAGAAAGCAGGCCTTTGAATCAAGTGCACGGGGGGGGCCCCAAAAAAAAAAAAAAAAATCCCAATATGAAAAGAGGTTATAGCCCTGTGTCTGGTGTGTAATGGGGGCATGTTTTGATCTCTCTTTGTACTAAATTGTGCGTCGTCATTAAAGCGTGGATTTTTTAAATTTGACATGATATTGATGTGCAGTTTAGCAAGTATTAACTCAGTCAGCCATTTGCAACTTCTTAGCACGTTAACGGGCTTTTGTGTTAGCATATGCTACAAAATTAACCTGGTTTCCCGCTAATTTTGAAGAGTGCAAGCAATATCCCAAGAGGATCAACTATAGTGATAGATGCGAATCTCAGAGGTCTATCCTGAGGCCTCATGTGTCCTGGTCTACAGAGAGTATGGCAGTCCTCTCCTGACAGTGGTGGAGTTGTCCAGACTCTTCAATTTCCCTGTCTCTATCACTGTGGACAACCCTGAGAACTATACCTTTGCATTGTTTGGGGAAAATGGTGGCAAACTAATTTGGATGAAGAGCCACTGGTGTATACAAATTCAATTTGCTCTGTAAAAAGATCACAAACTCTAGTAATGTCATTTTCCAAAACAATGACAGCTATATGCATACAGTTTACAACCCTGAGACACATTCTGAACCACAGTGTCAATTTTCATTGAGCTACAGATGAAGGGGAAACAGACAGGGGAAAGAAGGAGGAAAGCACAATTCCCAAGCACTAGTTGTTGTCCATATCCATAGGTGGTGTTTACAGTGAAACATTGAGCTAAACCTCACTGTATATCCTCCTACAGGCACAGTAGTGGTGTGTGTTCTAGTATGTGGCTCAGCAGTGTTGGTCCTGGTGATGGTCAGACGGTATTATAACCGCAGCAAGTCCACACACCATGCAATCTGAGCAGGTAAACAATGTTTGTGAATGCATCACAACCAAGAAAATCTACATTAAAAACATGCTGCCGAATTGGTAAAGGTTCTTATGTTTTTGGTCCCATTCCTAATGAATAACAAGAGCATGTGCCAACAGGGACGTGCATGTTTTGTTTGGTTGCAAAACACTGTGTGTGTTTGGTGTGTGGTAGTGCCCAACACAATGCATAACTATGCATCCATGGGAAACTTCGCAGTCAAAGTTTTTGTTCAATGTTGATTGAGCATCTAATGTCTACTAGAGGATGTCGACACAGCATTGTTTAGGTGAGCGAATGCTAGCTGGAGCAGTTGATATTGTGTGTGTTTTGCGCGATATTATATAGAACATACTGTATGTGTGCAGTGCAGGCAGAAGACCCTGTCCACATACTAACAATTAAAAAGGACTCTATAAAGAAAGTTGCGGCAGCAGATGTTAAAACAACTAGCTAGGTAAACCAACTAAGTATTCGAACAACTACCCACTAAATCTAGTATGTTCGAGATAGATGGCATCAGGGCAAACAGCTCTCTGTGCCTGTCATCATGAGGGTGGCACGAAAAGGTTGGGGGGGGGGGGGGTGAAGAGGGTGGGGGCGGTAGGGGGAGAGGGGAGGGGTAGGGGAGGAGTGGGGGGGAAGGGGGGGGAGGAGGCAGGGGGAGAAGGTGAAGGGGGGGGGGGAAGAGCGGCGGGGGGGGAGGGCGGGGTGAGAGGGGGAGTTAGGGGTGAGGCTGAGTGATGGTGGGGGGGGACATGGGCTGGGGGGGGGGTGGGGGGTAGGGTATGGGGGAGGGGTAGAAAGGAGGTTTCCGCTCCCCCCCTCTTCGCCCTCGCACGCGTCTCTCTTCGCCCTCCCCAACCTTGGTTTTGGTCTGTGGGAGGAGGACCAGGAAACATGACACACAATGCCGGGCAGCTGTCAAATCTAATCCTACAGACCTTGGCACTCCATGGGTTTGGTCACGTCATTCTCTCTCCCCTGGTTTCTGGGGACTGGTTCAGATGAACGGCCACTCTCTTGTGGCTGGATCTCAGACTGGAGAGAAGTGGACTCCTCAGGCTGGGCCTGAACCGCCACTGGGGATGGCTCAACAGAACTGGGGTTGAGGAGGCTGGAATTCTCATTTAGACCTCCAACAACAAGCTCTCCTTTAAAAATTCAACAGTTAAAATGAAATTCATACACTTATATAAGAAAATATATACCTTCTTTGGCTTCAAAGCCAAGTGGAGGACACACACATTTGCCTGCATCTTTGTGTGGCAAGGTAGGCAGGATGCTTGCACGTCCAAATAATCCGCGGACAGTGTCTTGCTCTTCCGCTTCATCGCTACATTCCAAAGGGACTATTTCATCACCCTCTGTGAAACATAGACACTGAATGTAAAAACCACTAAAATGCCACAAAAAGGACAAACCTGGCACCATATCCCTGGCATCACCCTAACAAGAAACATTTTTGTCAATGGGTTACATATATTGAAATCTAATAAACCTGGACAGTGCAGGAGTTGTCTGCTGATCCTTGTCTCCAAGATCCAGTTGGGTCGGGATGAGAGTCTTCTTCTCCTGTTTCACAAATTTGGGTAAACAAGCTCATTGTGAAGGTGTACACTGACCTTCATTATTCACCGGAAGAACACCAATGTTTTCCTCAGCAAAACATATACTACCAGCACCATGGGCCAACATTGGAGTGTCAAAGGTGTGATGTCTCTTGCCCTTGGTTGTCAAAGTGCTTTCTGCTAGGGCTAATAAATAACATCACAGAAACTTGATGGGTATATATCTATCACAGTACCAACCTTTATCATACTCTTTCTCCCCTTGCACAGTGAAGTTGTTCAGATAGGGTAAAGTTGAAGATCCATTTGGCATTGTGCTCTGGGACAAAATATTTATTGTACCAATGCTGCAGAATCAGCTACATGTGTATTTTACCATACCTTCGCTCCCCTGTTTTCACTATCCTGGTCATCAAAAGGTAGCATTGGCCGTTCCACCCCATTCACAACCTCATAGCTACCACCACATCCAGGGTGAGATGAATCTAGCTGAGGCTCTGCGAGTAGGACAGCAGCTGCACAATCAACTATGATGTATTGTGAAATCATTTTACCAGTTGGCTTGCTTGTCGGTTCAGATCTGGCAACAGACATCTGCCTGAAGCCATCTATTTGTTGGATGTTAAAATCCTCAGTAACAGACGGTGAAGTATCTAATAAATGAAGACCCAAAATATATCACCAACACCTTTAGCAGTAACTAACCACCGGGGCTCAGTGAGTGTGCACTGAGGTTGAGTCCAACCACACAGGCATCTATAAATGCATAATATCATACATCATCATTAACAAGACACGGTATTAATGTATTGTTAAGGTATAGATTTGTAGTAACTCTTGGCGTTGCAGAAGACGGTAGTAGTCACTACAATAACGTAATGGAATGAACTACAGTGCTACACACAAAGACACAACATTTGGTACATACTCTTTCATACAGGAAGTAATGCACACACATCGCATGTCATCATTGATGTGAGCTGACACTCACATTACACAATAAGAGACACAGTTTTAGGCACCGCTGTAACTAGAGTGTCATGAACACCAGCATTCTCTAGTCAAGTAAAATTTTACCACTCCCCAGCAGTTTCACTATTAGCAGGACATGGCATGGTATATTACCGTTAAGATGGTAGCAACTCTTAGCCTTGTAGAAGACTTTTGTAGTCACTACAATAACGAAAATACAAAAAATTTGGTACACTTATGGAAGTAATGCACACACATTGAATGTTAAGTAAATTCTACTGCTCCCAAGCAGTTTCTGCAGAGCAAAACAAAACTTAAGCACAGGAAATGGACAATCATTGGTGTTAAGCTCCCAGACTAATTGTTGAATGGAGGGATGATAATAAACATAAAAAGCAAGGAGACAATACAGGGATGACTGGTAGATATGACTATGCATAACTTGATCATGCAGCACACAGGCCTTGTATAATATTGTGGCAAAGGCATTCTGCAGCTTAGGACATGGGAGTTGCAGCTCACATGCATGACTTGGTACATACCTTCCTCCACATCTCCACAGCAGTAATCCACTTTCTTATCACCAGAGAGAGTAGGGATGGTGAACAACTGTTTTTGGGTCCCTCATCCTACCATCAATTCTAAACCAAAATATGATGTTATAATTTTCTGGGATTTCACATTGTTCTATACTCAAACCTCAACATCTTCTGCTTCCCGCCCCAATTATTGGCTTGTCAGTGGGGGCGATTTGTATTTCCGTTTTCCCTAGCACCATTTCACACACCCTCACATCCACCCGCTGGGCTATAGGGACAAGGATTCCCTGGCTGTGACTCATTGACTCTGGGGTGGCGAAGGACATAACCGGTGGCGTGTGGTTCTACTGAATGAAAACAATTTTTTGTTACCCACTTCTCTTTCATAATATTAATAGTCGTGCCATATGCACAAAACATGACAAGCCCCCGGCCAGAGTACAACTGTTTCATACACCATTTTTTTTCCCCGTGATTATTTGTTAAGCTACACCGCTGCAATAATAATTCAACATTACAGTGGCAAAAAACCCTCGCGCGTGGTACCACGCATGTGGTTGGCTATGTGTATGCGTTAATCACATAGCTTAGTCTAGCAATATTATTGTCACAAATCAGAGTGTGTGACCTCTAGGAGGCCAATGAACATGTTTAGACTGCTTTATAAAAAAGCAGGCAAATAAACAGTGAACATGTCCTAAAAAAAGCCTAGAACATGAAAAATCGAAGAACGACAGAAACCATCATCATCTTTCAAATCACAAAGTACACAACAACCACGCGGAAATCAACAAATCATACACACAATTTTGTTTCCATGACTGAGAATTCACAATCAAGAATGAGCTCAAGTATCAGAAGTATCTGAAAAGTCGGAGATACCGATTAAAATCAGCCAGTTTAGAAATGAACCCGATGAGTAATCGCTGTTTGTTTGATCGTTGCGTGTAGTCGCAGAAAACTGTGGTAACAGACAGACAAAGACGACAGATGCACACACTTACGAACCAAGTACTGTAAACCCCTCCTGCGCATGCCAACGCCAAGGGTTACATTATGAAAACAATAGCTATATTCTTCAGGTGATGTGAAACATTTTTAGAGGAGAAACATAACCCTTGTTCCCCTGTTGCACTGAGCACTGAAAGAACGATAGAGGTATTAGTGACATAAAAATGTAGTTGTGATGGACTCCCTATAGGCAATTGTTCACCTAAACTAATTGTTATGATTGCACACTCCTAAGTCACCGTCTCAGCTTTGCTTTATATGGTTCGGGCCATTTTGTAGATGTTACTATTCTTCCACTTGAAGAAGAAGAACTGATCTGCATGCTCATTGTCTGTAACTGACCGTCTGGAGGAGAAACATAATGAAAAGCAACAAGTCCAACCCACAGTGAGACACACACATGACACATCATCGCACAAACACTGTCACACTAGCGCCCTGTACATATGCACAAAACAGTTAACAACTCATAATCTGTATGTATATGTACCTCATGGTAAGCACACGTAAAGAGCTCTTATGGTCACGAGAAAACTGACACTATGTCCTACAGTATGAGAGAGACGCACAAACAGAACTGTCTGATCCACTCAGGCCTGACGGGCCAGTTCCTCTTCAGATCTCTCAGTAGCACGAGATAGTTTCTCCCAGATGGTGTAGTCTGGTGACCGACATCTCCACACACACCTGCAGACAGCCCTCATCCATGTCGGTGTTGGTGTCTATCCTCATCAATCAGATCCTCCTCAACAAACTCGCAGACCCTCTGCTATCATCCTCCAACGGACCAGCCACCTCAAATAACACCCCACAAACCAGTGACATCACATGACTCCACTGTGGGGGTCCTAGGGGTGGGAGACATGTATGATGATAGACAAGTAAGGGCATTCAAGCCTGTCAAACCTTTGGGTGTTGCCTGGTCTGCATTCTTCTTGTCTGCATAGGTGAAGAACATAGCCTTACAATTACCTACATGGTGCTATCACATACTACCTCTGTTGCATGCCAGTCACAGGAGTAGTCGGCAATAGGTAGAACATCAACATAGGTGCCCTGTGTCTTGGTCTCAATCTTGGGGTTTTGTTGGCCTTTTGTAGAAAGGGTCCCACTCAGCATAGGGAGAAAGTGCCATTTTCTGAGGAAAGAGAGGATCATAACATGAGTCATGTGACTATCATGTGATCATCAGCTGACATGAGTAGTTCTGATGTCAACCTCAGTGTACTGGACTATGGAGTCCTCTGGGATAGGGGGTTGCACCCCTGATGTTGAGAGTCCACATCGGTGTATACCCCCTTTTGTTTGGACATCACTGGAGGAGTGCTCACACTTACACCACTGTCCTGTCTTAGGTACGAGGACTTCCCACTAAATGGAGGTTTGGCTTCTCCTTCAGCATGTCCATCCTTTTTCGGTTTGGTTCCACCATAATCTGATATCAGTTGAGCACCGCTCCCTCCACTAGCATTACTGCATTCACTCGGGGAAGGAGAACAAAAGCAACTGGGAACTATATCAGAGGAGCTGTAACCACCTTTGTGCGACTGCAATAAGAGATATGAACATTTCTGATGGAAAATTAGTGACACAAATTACCTTCTTCCACAAAACCACTGTAACTACAGCCAAGATGACAAGAATAACGATGATGATACATGATACAGTAACTGACAGTCCAATAGCAATTGATGATGTGCTTCCATCTAGAAAACAGGACAACATTATCATTGTAGGTATACACATCTATATATCCTATACAAGAACTGACAGAATGTAAAAGCAATAAAGTGCAGGCCCTTGGCGCAAGGAATGCGGGCACATAGAGTTGATGTGTACAATATGCGTACCAGATAAGGTTTAACTTGTAGTCAGGCAGGCAATCCAATTACTGTAACCACCACTGTGCATGCATCCATGGCAAGGGTTAAAAAGAAATTACCATACTCCACATGCAAGCCAAGGGCTAATTAGACATACCAGAGGATGCCGATACAGTAATAGTTGGTGTAGTTGTCTCAGTAACATCCACTCTTCCTGCAATAATTGGTCTTTGATCAACCATGGAACCATCTTTTCCAAATATAGCAAATGTGTAGTTCTCAAGATCTCCACCAACAGTCAGAGTCACAGGGAAGACAGTGTTCTGAGAATATTCCTCCACCACTAGTGTCTTGTTACTATACTCTCGATAGACCAGGACACATGAGGCTCCCTCTATACCTTCTTTGAACTCACACCTGACATTCACTGCTGACCCATTCCAGTATAAACTGCTGTTGTTTAGAAATTGAGATTCTGCATCAGCGAAGGGACCTGCAATAGAAATTGGCATGAGGAATAAGAGCCAAATGTATAAATCAGCAGACACTCACCGTTCCCCACAACAATGACAGTAGTGTCCTGTTCAATTGCAGGATGGGTGCTAGGCAGTCCGTCATCCTCAAGGTCATAGACGAACATATTGTACGTTGAAGATATAACGTTTTCAATAATACTCTCCACAGAAGTGCTGGAGTCATCAGGCAGTAGTAGGGCTCTGAATACATCAGGGCTTCCATATTCACATTGTAAAACTATGAAACATCCTTGAGCTGTCGTGTTTTCAATGAACTCTCCAGTCAACTTTATCTCATTATTGGTACCCTTGGTGGTGTCAGCGGCAGCACTCTGGACATCATATGTAGCTGTAGACACATAATTATATCCAATAATTGCCCTTGGCACAATAGAACACAGCAGCATGATTGATTATAATTGGGTATGCATATGGATTTTTCATACATAACAAGGAGTGTTCAATGACCACACAGATGTAAGCAGCATATGAGTGTTTCATGTGAATACAGAAAACTGTGGATCTACTATGTATATACATGTAGTATTGGGCACAAAAGGCACACCTCCACTTAAGGGCATAACTGTACGTACTGCTGGTTGTCACAACACAAAAAATTACTGAAATTGATCCGTGGGGGGGTTTCTCCACTAGTGATAATAGGAAGGGACACCAGGAATGAATATCTATTGTCAGCACGGAGTTGGTAGGTGACATCTGGTCCTTCTGGTGATGGTGGCTCTTCAATGACAAGATGATCATCATCTACATCAGGAGTGACTCTCCAGCTACTACAAACTTCACTGGTGGGATTACCCTATCACAAAAATAACAGACATTGAGTATTATGTACGGTACTAAAATTACTACTGATCGATGTTATGAAGGTAACATTGCTCTCGTCCCTAGAGATAGCTCGGATGTGAATCATTATAAGTGCTGAAGCTATAATGAAAGGAGAACAAGCAGTAAGTGGTCTTTTCATGCAGGAATGGCAGCAGGTACCCCAAATATAATCACAAGTTTTCATACCATCCAGTTATCTATTGTAAGTTACATCAGTATGGGTCTGCACTAATTCTGGTGAAATTCTGTGCCATTTACGCACAAATTGCAAACATGGTCAATACGGCAAGTGCTAAAACATGTGAAGAAGGTGAAGTACTGGTATGGGCATTTGCACACATCCACAGGTGATGTTGCATCAAAGAGAGTATACATACCCAGTTATCAACACGGAATCTGATGCTAGGCTACAAGCTATTGTGTGCTATTTAAAAAGAAATTGAGAGAACAGGATGGCAAAAGTAGAAGTAGTATGTAAGTTCAATATTATACCTCAGATGCAGGGACACTATATACTATACATATTCACATTGTAAAACTATGAAACATCCTTGAGCTGTCGTGTTTTCAATGAACTCTCCAGTCAACTTTATCTTATTATTGGTACCCTTGGTAGTGTCAGCGGCAGCACTCTGGACATCATATGTAGCTGTAGACACATAATTATATCCAATCATTGCCCTTGGCACAATAGATAACAGCATAATATCCAAATGAATTTCAATTGGGTATGCATATGGATTTTTCATGCATAACAAGGACTGTTCAATGACCATACAAACGTAAGCAGCATAATTATGAGTGTTTCATGTGAATATAGAAACCTGTGGACCTACTATGTACATGTAGTATTGGGCACAAAAGACACACCCATTCTGACATTTCCACTTAAGGGTTAGTAAGGCATTAACATCTACCTACTGCTGTTTGTCACAACACAAAAATTACTGAAATTCATCCGTGGGAGGGCTACTTCATCAGTGGTATTAGGAAGGGACACTAGGAATGAATATCTATTGTCAGCACGGAGTTGGTAGGTGACATCTGGTCCTTCTGTTGATGGTGGCTTTTCAAGGACAAGATCATCCATTACATCAGGAGTGACTCTCCAGCTACTACAAATTTCACTGGTGGGATTACTCTATCACAAAAATAACAGACAAAATTTTAGTATTGTGTATGGTACTACAATTAATACTGACCCTTGCCATAAAGGTAACATTGGTCTTCTCCCTAGAGATAGCTTGCATCTGAGTCGTTATAAGTGCTGAAGCTATAATGAAAGGAGAACAAGCAGTGAATGGTCTCTTCATGCAGGAATGGCAGCAGGTACCCTAAATATAATCACAAGTTTTCATACCATCCAGTTATCTATTGTATGTCACATCAGTATGGGTCTGCACTAATTCTGGTGAAATTCTGTGCCATTTTTGCACAAATTGCAAACATGGCAAATACGGCAAGTGCTAAAACATTTGAACAAAGTGCAAGAACTGGTATGGGCATTTGCACACATCCACAGGTGGTGTTGCGTCAAAGAGGTAACATGCCCAGCTATCAACACAGAATCTGAAGCTAGGCTACAAGCTATCAAGGACACTGTGTGCGAGAGAACAGGATGGCAAAAGTAGAAGTAGCATGTAAGTTCAATATTATACCTCAGACGCAGGGACACTACTAAAAAATAATGCAGCATTGGGACATAAAGAGTAGGTAATAAAAACGACCTTTGAAGCAGATGCAGATAATCAGTGCATTGTCGCTATAAAATGTACTCACAGTTGATAACATATCCAGTGATATTGGGACTGCTCTCTCCCTGGCCAGCTCCATTGAATGGGATGACAGAGAAGAGAAAGTTCTGACAGGGTGTGGCAGAGTCAGGAGTGAAGGTATAACTTGTGTAAGTAACGTTGACAGAGGGGACGGCTGTTGGGGTGTTCTCATCTGTCACATTGTAGATGAGGACAGAGTACCAGATATCAGGATCAACACCAGTCACATCCAGAGAGAATGGAGCACTCCACGAGATGGTTACTGAGCTGGTATCGTGGGTAGCACTAAAATCACCTACTGTTGGCAGTGGACCTGGATGCAATTTATATGCATTTTCAATTGAGACAGTAGATTACAATCATATTTTGAGAACAAATATTTTACTAGTATGTCATGTTGCATGTGCGTGCAAGAACAATTAATTAGTTGATGAAAATAATACACAACAGTGATTTAAGGTCATACCATCCACCTAGAATTGATATTCGCCTCACTTTCTGGCCACTAGTTTGTAGAACTGAGTGAATGCTACTTGGAGTCCTTTTACCAAGAAATCGTTACTATCCACTACGTGAGTCCATTTATGCCACATTGTATCCACATTTCCATGTGCATGTGTGTGCACAACTGATAGGGTGTCCCCTGAGTATACAATTACTTGTATCTTGTACATGTCACATGATAGGCTCATGTAGTAGTAGTCTGATTGGCACAAGTGTTCATGTTATTGGTAGCGTAATGGCAGCAAAATGTACTGTGTAAACATGCTACCATATAGGGTAGAAAGGTATGTCGTAAGTGAAGTACACTATGTATAGGTTAGATCACTGGAACGAGTCACTACGAGGTTTGAATAACCCGAGGGGGAGGGGTGAGAATGACGCAATAGTGACCAAGGCGGAGCCGAGGTCACTATTGCGTCATTCTCATCCCGACCTGCGAGGGTTTTTCAAACCGAGGAGACGAGTTCAGTGGTCTAACTGGCTTAGAACCGCGGCACGGAGAGCGCAGTTTCGCTTAGTCTTTTCGATAGTGTGCAAGACCCGTTACCCAGTTTGCTCTGCCTTCCAGAATTTAGGCTCGTTGGCCCATTTGCTCATAGCTTCGAGACTGCAGGACGCGTTCATCGTACTAGCATCGCAGCAACTGGATGGATATATCCTGCGAGCCCCGCCGGAGCAAGACACTGCCACTGGAGCGCTCAGCCCGCGTCGCTTGATCTGGACGCGATTTGTTGTTTGTCGCTAGTCAGACGTTGAAATCAGCTACTTGGCTCTCCGGGAAACGCCTGACTAGCGACCAACAACAAATCGTCCAAGCGACGCGGGCTGAGCGCTGCGATGCTTGTTGATGGCGGCAGCTAGGAGCAAATAGGCTTTCCCACTCCTTGATTATTATGGATTTGACCTTTGTGAAACCTCAGTGATCTAAATTCTTCACAGTGATCTAACTTGCGACTTAGAGACTTAGTACTTAGATACCTGGTACTACGGGTTTTAGACACTTGATTACTACGCTTAACATAAAAGGGAATTATTCATGAGAGGTTCTAAACCTGTATAAACAGTTTACACAAACGCTTCCTGGCATTCAGGTGAATGCTGACCCACAACCCAAGTACTGTAACGTACTGTATGCTATGTATACACAATCTGAGTGCGGGCTACCTCCACACGAGTATATACACAATGCAAAGAGCTGACTTCTACACCTACACTGTTGCTACAAAACACAACATTTCTGACTGTGCCTACAGCTTGCTGTGCATGTTTACAGTGTACCTACATATGAGTGACAATGTGAGAATATGCAAACAGGTTTCTTGCTCTACGTAAGCTAGAAATAGCGTTTGGAGCACTGCTGGACTGGATACTCGTCCTCCAAGTAACTTTGTGCCCCCCACGGTGTGCTTATGGGTTGAGGTAGACCATTGCTTATTAGCATATTGGCTTTTCCACTCGTGTGTTTCACACTACATCTCTCACATGCAGTGGTTTCATGAAAATTATCAATGCCCTTGCTGCCTTAAAGTCATTGGTACATATATCCCATTGACTACATCGTAGATTATAGTGCAGAATATTGAAAACAGACACACAGACAAACACGTACAAGCAAAGTACTGTAACCTTCATTGCGTGCATGTGTGCCCGAGGGATAACAAACAGACACACAGAAAGTGAATACAGGTGGAGGGTTAGCAAACAGTTGGAGGTAAAGAATTATAACCTTGAATTGTCAATGTGGCATTGTCACTCTCCACACAGGGCCACGAAATATCACTGAAGCACACTGAACTCTAGTTCCATTGTACTGGGGTCTGGCTGGGATGGTCAGATTCTGCACTGAACTCCCTTCAGGAGTAGTAACTCTTCTGAGAGAACCAGGTCACTACGTATGTCAGGCAGAGCCCCAGCTGTGTTCCATTGACTAGCCAACAGTGTCGCCACCGTCCTGTCTCACATGTAAAAACTGCCGGTTTGTTTAAAGACTGTTGTACTCTCGGAGCACGGAGATCTCTGAAAAAGATTAACAAAAAACAGTTGGAGCGTGTACATGTGACATTGCCACGTATAAACGAGTTCGAGTGGTACGTTTTATGTTTGGATATATATAGGTTAGACGCGGAAAGCGAGGTGTCTACGCTACATTTGCAACCCGTGGGCTGTGGAATGTTGGCGTCCCGAGCGCAGCGAGGGCGCTACCCACATGCCCCGAGGGTTGCAATGTTGCGTAGACAACCGAGCTTCCGCGTCTAACCGGTTAGACCGGAGTATCTGATTGGTGTTAGCGCGTTCAAATGGGTAGCAACAAGCTAGCAACGCTGTGCTCATTCCTCATTCCTTACCTTCGGATGGAACAAGACGCTTGTTTTACGTGTGAGACTCCGAGGAGACAGCCCCCGCCCCCCGTCAAAAATCGTTACGTCATCATAAAACGCCCCTCATTGGTGGTGCGCGTTTGAAAGGGTTAGCAACGCACGGCAACGCCCAATGTGTTTGTGTATATCGCCAGAGCTGAAGAAGCCGACGCTTTTTTCGTGGAATATTGACGTGATTTCTGACTTTCGCGAGCTCCGGAGACTGTCCACAGACTTCTTGCAGGTGCACTACGCATTTTAAAAGAGCTACTTGCCAGTCGCGCCTTCTACGCTTACATATACCGAACGCGAATCGGCCGGTTTGCGCAGATAACGACTTTTGAGAATAGCCATTTTGTACGGGTAGTTTGCTGTAGACCACCTGCAAACGCCATTAGACACCTGAAACGAGGTGTCTATGAAAAATAAACCCCCCCGCAATTCTGTAATCTGATTGGTCAATTGCGCTGGACTGCGGTCTAATATCATGTAGATCCAGTGATTTGAAAATCGCGCAATTTCATGGTCCTACGCGGATCTATTTTCAGTAGTATCCCGCTGCCGCCCGGACGATCTATTGTATCTCTTCACTCGTTTCGGTGTGGAGCGAAGCGTGAAGGAACCGCTGTGGTTTGGTGGGGTGGGTCTCGTAGTCGACGCACGCGCACTGTTGTTGTCGGTTGTTTGTTGTGGGCGGAGCGTTCGAGGATTCGTACTGTTGGCTCGCGGCGAGCATGAGTATGTCGAGCTCCTTCTCTGGTCCAGACAAGATAGTATCTCGTTGCTGAACAGCTCGCCTGGCGTCGCCATATCTTCGCAATGGATCTAAACCAGTTAGACGCGTCGCCACGGTAACATACGCGTGGTAGAGTGCCTCGGGCTCCCTAGTAGCGCCCGAGTGCAGCCGACAGCTTGGGAGCCCTCGGCACTCTACCACGCGTAGTCACCTCGGCTCCGCATCCGACCTATATGTAGATTACGTATGTTTATATGCTTATACACTCATGACCTAAACTTTTTGCCCCGTAGGATCTACTTACCATAGGTGCCAATTAGATTAGGTTGCTAGGCGATAGCAAACAGAATCGAGGATTAATATTACCTTGTGCAAACACTGGGCTGGAATAGTAGAAGCAACACCAGAATTTACACCTCCACCTGTAAGTTAACACCAAGAATATCGACAGTGTGATCTTGAAACACAGTGATCGTACAATTAGGGAACTAGACTAGAAAGGCACACACACCCAACTACACTACAACTATGCTGAGGTAGTACAAGAAATAAAATACAGCATATGATTCCATTTACACGTGGAAAACATGTGACAAGGAAGAAATTAATGATTCCATACTATTATAAATAATGTGGGGTTTTCTCTGAAAGTGCTGCGTTTGAGAGGTTTACAGGCATGAAACACGTCAGTGTACCATTGGGTGCCATGTTAGCGAAAATTTGCTTATATTTGTGGACACCATTTTGTGATACATTATGGATTCAAATGGCTTCTTTCACTGAATAAGCTACGTTTGCAAGGTTGCATCAGGACAGGAAGTTGGTATTGTACAGTGTACAATTATATAATAATATTATTATTGTACATTTAGCTATGGTGAAAGTATATTAGCTATCTGCCCATCATTTAGTTACCAATCCGCTTTGATTTCAAATCCCATTATGGCACTACTAGTGGTATAGTGCAGAAAGCCGGCTAACATCAATGCATTCACAGTTGTCTATTTTATTGTCCAGGGAGTACTCGTTTATGCTCTCTGGTAGCTACCCTTCAGTAAACAATACCGCTTCCATACTTGTCTCTGTTTACATTTAGCAAGTTTAGCACAATGATGCTTAAAAGACTGACAGGTTTAGAGACAAGTGAAAATCAAGTGATAGCAACATGTGTACAACTAAGTGTGTGCGCAATACATTTGCAGTCAAACTATCGCTGGTGACATTTCTGTTGGTATAAAATAAGCCTACCAAACATTCTTGTCACCTCAATGATGTTATTATCATTAAGAACATTAACTACCTAAATTTCTAGGCTAGTATCTAATTTACATACTCAAATATCTCTGAAAAAACTTCACTACATCGCGAAAATAACTTCACCACATCGCGAAATTTACATACATTAGGAATATCTGGGATGCAAACTGGAATGGTAGACTTACATGCAGCCATGACCATGAACTGAGCTAATCTTTGGCTGTTGATAAATCTGCAAAGGAAAAGCAGCAATGACTCAAAAAAGTAAAGACAATTAAATAAGGACCACTGTATATGTATAGATAAGGACCTTGAAGGTGACTGCCAAATTTGTTTAATGGCCAATTAGACTTGGCTGTTGTTTTAGACCCTAAGTATTGAGTCGTACCGTACCGTAATGTTCTACGTGATTCTAAATACGCACAAAACATGTGCGAAATATTGAACTGCTCTTGCTTGCTCGCCAACAATTCGTCCTAGTATGTCCCATCAATGACACTGTGTAGCTCACTCAATGCAACAGGTACAAGTACAAGTCAAGGCTCTGGTAGCTATACAGATATACAAATATGACTGAAATGTAGCATAATTCCTATCTTGTGCATGAGGGCTGGGGACCACACACTTTCATGTTGGACAAGATATACCATCCGTGTAAGAATAGAGCATGACAAACATTCCTTACACATGACACCTACCACCTGACAACATTAGTAATATAGAAGAGTGATCATGGTATACACATGTTTACAACCCTGCTAATCAATCTTTACATGTTATGTTACCAGGAGGATTGGCGATGTGATAGGTGTACATACAGTACAGCAATAATTGTGGCTAGGAAAGTCAAACCTTGACATTTACTCTAGCCAAAAATATATCTTTTTGCACTGATGTACCATTCTCACTCACCCTGAAGATGACCCCTTTGAAGCTTCGGTGTAAAAAGATAATTTCGCTGGAGTAAATGTCAAGGTTTACCAGAGTACACACACACAGTATATACTTCAGAGGGCCACTACCAGGGGTTGGATGCACAAGGCTCTCATCGCCAAGAGGTGTGACATATAAAGCAGACAACTGGCGGTGTATACCAACGCCCAGCCAAGGCATAACAAGCCGCGACCGTCCGACAGCGCCTTTATTACACGAGTGCATGGCTAGCTGTGAAGTGGTGACTAATGAGAGAAAATGCCCCTCACCTGACGTATCTTGGTCTCTCCTGGGTGTCCCCTGGTCCAGCCGTATCCTGTTGGGCCGGGGGTGCGGAGCGGCTAGACTATAGGCACGGCAAGTATATTCAGCTCGAGAGACCCCACCCCACACACAGCATCACGCGGGTCATGAATAATGAATACATAATCAACCGGTGGTATACAGACAAAAACTGATAAAAGTGTGGGAGAACATGACTACTTGTTAGAGAAGCATACACAACAGTATTTTTTTTAAAGCTGACATCAGGAATATCATTGTCCTTCATAACAGCAAAATCTCAGCAGCCTCAGTCTATATAATATGTCTGAACGACTGCTGAAGAAGGGAGCTCAACCGATGTAGGGAAGCCCCCAGAGCAAGTTCAATGAGTAATCCGGCCCGATGGAAACCACGACTCACTCCAGTGTGCAGCCACTTCAAAATCTTCTCCTGGTAGTTCCCTGTGGGTGGAGTAAGGGAATGGCTCAGAGGATAATAATGTATACAGTTATGTATATGGAGGGAAGGCCTTGTGTGTGTTAGCAGCACAGTGACACATGTTTTCACCTAGCGTGCACAATAAGTACACTCCTACAGTGAGTGTATTGCTGAGATCTGAAGCAGATTATTATAGTGTCACGCTAGACACTTGGCAAACACATCCAAGCACACACAGAAATGGTACTCTTAGTACACACACATACGCCCACACGCAATGCAGTTCTACATTACAAACCTGGGGGATCGAGATATTGGCGTTTCTTCAGAGGGGTGCTCACTTTCTCCTCATCTCGCTGGACAGGAGTGGGGGAGGAGGGAGGTGGAGGAGTGGGTGTGTAGTTCCCCTGCAGTTGAAGAGGTGAGACCTCTGGATGCTGGGACTGGGGTGGAGTGGGGGTCTGGTGGGAGTGGCTGGAGGATCAGTCTCCTCTGGGAATGGTTGGGGCATGTTCTCACTGGCTCTGGAGATGGCTCAAGAGCCACCGTTTTGAAGATGTCACGTCTGGTGTATGGGCCTCCAACCACCAGCATTCCTAGAACATGTATGTAATTTAAAACCATCCACTATCTTTAAGGTGTGCATATACCTAGCTCCAGTCAGAAGACCAAGAGAAGGGTAGACTGCCTTGTTGAGCCCAAACCTTCCTGCACTCTGCTGACTCTCATTGACACACAAGGACAGGCTGTCATTGACCACTTCTTTAGCAGGTGGTCTGAATGGACCTCTGGCTGTGTCCGTCTCCTCTGGTCCAGTAAAACCACTGAAACCAGTGGACTGCTGAGGGACCACCACACACACCTCCTGCCAATTGAACATAGAAATACTTAACGTTTACAGGATGCTAAGGCTCAAACAAACCTGGGATAAAATCCCTTCCAACGTCCTATAAAACAACAAACAAAAAATAATCATACAAATATTCAGCACAGTGGAACCTTGGCAGTGTCCGAGGTGGCTGCTGATATCTGCCTCCCAGAACTGAAGGACTCAGAGTGGTAGTCATCATCTGATCCCTGGGTACTCACTGGATCTTGAGCAAAGTCCCGATCATCTGCAGTACATAACTCTTCCTTAACAAACCTCATTTTTGTATAGGAGTTAACTTACCATTGCCATCCAATGGGGGAAGCATCTGGCATTCTTGAATATACCACGGGAAAATCATGAGTTATTAAAGATAATGAAAAGCACTGAAGTGCAAACCCTCGGCGCATTGTGACGCGCACGCGTCAGTAAACACATGCGCCGTACCACTAATTGATGGGCTGGGTTTAGTTTTAGCTGTTACTCGTGGTCTCTTCCCAGCTCGCGCAGAGTCTGACGCGGGCTAACTACACTACTAGATAGCATGCGAGAGGCGATACACGCCCTGCGTTGCATCTTCTGGTGCCTCTGAGGTACGCAGAGCACGCGGATCGATCAGACCGTGGTAAGCCGTCCCGTCCGTTGCCTATTTGCATATTAGCTTTTTCGCGCTCTAGCTCTGCAACGGAGCAGTTTCAGAGAAAACCCCACATATTTTCTGACCTTCATTGCCCGTTCAGTAGGTGGTATCCTTTGTGAGACGAACGAACACTCGAGAAGTGAGATGACGAGTAACAGACAGACACACACACACACACACACACAGACAGACAGACAAACCCAACTACCGCAACCCTCGCTGCGCATGCGCGCCGAGGGTTAATGATGCACAACTGAGCTGTGTATATTTTACCTTCAAGAGAAGGTTTGCAGGGGAAGTCGAAGAGATAAGTGCCAATCACAATAGTCACTGTAAAAACAGTTGAATACATCTCACACAGAACAATGGCTACTGAGTTGCCAACCTTTCTCCCTCTCCTCTGATTCAACAGTGGCAATAGTCCCAACATCACACTTGGTCTCCTCATCCTCCTCACTGCTCTCACTGACAGTTGGACCCTCCTCGTGGAGAGCAGGGTAAGTCAAAAAGACAGATCTGGCACCTCGCTCCCCGCTTGAACGATCATTTGGTATCGTTTTCTAGGATATTCAGAGCATGTTGTGCTCACTCTGCACAGTGTCAGCTACATGTTCAGGACATACCTTCCCTCCCCTGCTTCCATCTTCATTGTTGCCATCATCAAGAGCTACTGTCTTCTCCACTCCAAGCACCACCTCACTACTGAAGTCAGTGGACTGAGATGAGGCATCGGCAACTGCAGCACAGAACACCGTTCAACAACACGTAGTTCTTCCAGACAGGTGAAGTATTTTACCAACTCCACTTGAGCTTGAGTCACTGGTCTCCCTACTCGGTACCAGCCACTGTTCTTGTGGCTCTGTATGCCAAATGTAGGAAACAGCCACTGCCAAGTGTTACACATTAGAACACTACCTTTATTGCCGGCCTGACGGGCCAGTTCCACTTCCCCCAGATCTCTCAGTACATGAGACAGCTTCTCCCAGGATGGCTGTAGTTTGAAAACCCAGATCTCCACACACACCTGCAGACAGCCCTCGTCCATGTCGTTGTTTGGATCAACCTCGTCATCAATGTAGTCTTCGTCAAATCCAAGGCCTTTCGCAATCTCCTTCCAATGACCAGCCACACCCCACAACAGTGACATCACTGACGCCACTGTGGGGGGTCCTATGGGAAGAGGAGACATGTAATTGTGTTGGACAAGTAACGAGGCATTGCAGCCTTTCAACCTTTGGGTGTTGCCTTGTCTGCATTAGGTAGTAGAACACAGCCTTACAATTACCTACATGGTGCTATCACTACTAACCTCTGTTGTCATTGTCATTGACAGGAGTAGTGGCATGAGGTAGGATTGTGACATAAGGACACTGTGTCCTGTGTCCATCTCCAAGGGTTTGGGTCTGCCGCAGGAAGAGGTCCCAGGTCAGCATATTGAGAACGGGCCATTTTCTGAGGAAAGAGAGGATCATAACATGAGTCATGTGACTATCATGTGATCATCAGCTGACGTGAGTAGTTTTGATGTCAATCTCCTGGTACTGGACTTTGGAAACATCTGGCAGAGATGGCCTGGACGCTGATACTGAGGTCAGCAACACTGCATATTTGCTCTCTTCTTCTTTACTCTCTTCTTTCTTCATACCACCGTCCTCTGCCATTCTACCCATCAGTAGAGCAGTGTTACTTGCCTTTCTTCTATCAACGGCACACAGCCAACTAAAAGAGAAACAGCCACTCACGAGACAACAGAAACAAAAAGTGACATACCTTTCCTTGTTTCTTCTTTCTTAACACAATAGCGTATAATGCTCACAGGCACCAGAAGAATGATGGTCAGAGTCACCAACACTCCAACAGTGACAGCTACAACTGATGATGTGGTTTTAGCTCTCTCTGGTGTCCCTAATAAGAAAAAAAGAAACTTTTCATCATGTCTCAGTGTAAGGTATAGCCAGGAGCATACTGGCAGGTGTGCCTACCACAACACCAACTACAAATTACTCTGCAGGCACCTGAGTGTTGTGCTCCCTGTGCTAATGCAAGCAGGATTGTAAAAAAATGTGCAGTTGAGTAGGTGCTAAACCTTGCACTTTGCTACACATATTAGTTTACCAGTAGATGGTGGCTGTGGCTGTAAAGGATCTTCTGTCCCCTGTATAAACATGCTTACAAATGGCCTTTCATCAGTATCCTTGTCCAGCCTTCTGAACAGTGCAAACGTGTAGTTCATGTCAGGATCAAGATCGACAGTAACAGGAAAAGTTTCTTTCCAGTTCAACATATAGTTGCCATATGCTCTGAAGACCAGAACACACAATGCACTGTGCTCATCAGGAGTACAGGTGACTATCAAAATTGAGCCATGCCGGGAGATGCTGGCATTATTTAGGTTCTCACCATTAGGTGCTTTGTCTTTAAAATGAACACAAACAAATGCTTAAACAACACTTTTGTACCCACAAGAACTTACATTTTTCTTCACCATGCGTAATCTCAACACTGGAAGGGACAAGGTTAGCTGGATGTATGTTGGGAAGTCCATCCTTCTCCAGATCATGTACATAAACAGTGTAATTTGATGCAGGCATTGAGATTTCCATAGACAGATTCTGATTTGTTCCATTACGCTTCAATGCAATAAAGGTAATTTGAGTAGTGTAATTGCACTGATTGGCTACAAAGCATCCTTTTGCAGATGAGTTAACAATGAGCTCTCCGTTTACATCGATCATTTTACCATCAGTTGACTCTGCGTGGGGCTCTTGAACATCATAGGTTGCTGCAAAAGTGCATGAACAAAGTGAAAGTGTGTTGAGTGTGCTGTACGGATTAGTGGGTATATGTGCCTACAATAGATGCCATGCAGGATCACAGACATACACACTTTGGTAATAACTCTCAGCACACATGTGAGCACTTGGTCTGTGTTCCGAGGAGGCAGCCATGAGCGATCATAGCGTAACAAAGGTATGGGTATTCAAGTTAATGAGCAATGGCTTACCTTGACTAGTGTTTGCATGGTAGGGACATAAGTATCAAGTCCAGTCCAGTGTTTTGTCAAATACTACTCATAAGGCAAGAAACTGACATCGTCAGCAACAATGGCCCAGGTAATCAATTAGCAGGCCTTTATCCCCATGCGTAGTGGGTAGTGTACATTTCATTGCATGGTTGGCTATAACAGCGCTTGTGCTTGAGAGTCATCTTCACACATTGTTTGTTCTGTCCACTGTATACATACACATCATGCTACATCTTACTGAAGTTTTTAGTCTTTTCTGTTCCACAGGCCATGATGGGATCTTCAATGGTAGCTTTGTATTCTCCATCAGCAGGTAGAGTGAACACAGTTCCATTTGTACCAATGTTGGCGTCAAAACGAACCGTATCATTATAAACAGATACAGTGTGCATCTGTTCCTAGGGTAAAGAGGAAAGTTACAAATGCCACCAGATAAACTAATGATGAGAAGATAGGTAGCCCTTTCCATTCCTCAAACACAACAATACCATTTCAGAAAAGAGAACAGTTGAAGTGCATAAGAACACCATTCTAGAGAGTAAAATAAAATGTAACTTACATCTCTGAATTTAATAACTTCACGATAACGATCATCATCCAGGGCTTCACCTTCTACTTCACGGAATTTGGTTTCTGTGAAAACTAACGAGAGAACAAAGAACAAAAATGTCACACACACTTGCAATTAGGCTTCTATAACAGTGCAAACACACCATCACTAATGTTGGGACTCCTCTGCTCCCTGGCCAGCTC